AAAGCATCAACTAAAAAGCACTGGGTCACATTTCTCTCTTGCACTCTTATACGGAAAGCGATCCTTTACACTGACTCCCTAAATGTTAGGCATCTATTCCCACCCCTTCTTCAGCCACAGATGTCTCTCTCTCTCCTGAAAACCTACCTTGCAGTTGGCTCCTCCGCCCTTCTCAGGAGGACTGCGGCCCGTCCACTCAGGCAGAGACACCGGAGAGCCCCTGTCCATTGCCACACAATGAGGGGCCAGGTCAACAAAGGGCAGAGGAAGGGCTGAGTGAGGTCACACAGGATGCCTCGTGATCCCTGTTGGCAGGAGTCATCCTGGGGGAGAGGGCTGGGACCAGCCAGACTTGATGATACCAACCCCCCTGAGAGTGATGAGAGGAAGTGGGGGCTGCAGACACTCCTTCTGAAGAGTTTTGCTGAAAAACTAAGTGCAAAGAAGACCGAACTCATGATTGCTATCATGTCAATGAAGAACTGTTTCCTTCTTTTAGGTTTTATTTTTTTAAACACTGGCTTTTGGGGGGTGTTTTTTGTTTTTCTGTTTTGGAACATTTGGGCTCTTCTTTAGCATGTGGAATCTTAGTTCCACAACCAGGGATGGAATCCAGCCCCCTGCATTGGCAGCATGAAATCTTTAACCACTGGACTGCCGGGTAAACCCCTGCTGTTAGTTTGTATAGATGCAGTGCTACTGCTGCTAAGTCACTTCAGTCGTGTCTGACTCTCTGCGACCCATAGACGGCAGCCCACCAGGCTCCCCAGTCCCTGGGATTCCCCAGGCAAGAACACTGGACTGGGTTGCTATTTCCTTCTCCTGTGCATGAAGGCGAAGATTGAAAGTGAAGTGGCTCAGTCATGTCCAACTCCGAGGGACCCCACAGACTGCAGCCTCCTAGGCTCCTCCATCCATGGGATTTTCCAGGCAAGAGTACTGCAGTGGAGTGCCACTGCATTCGCCATAGATTGATTAGATGGAGGCAAGAGGTGGAGCTGATTTGGGCCTCACCCACAAGTAAGCAAGAGAAATGAGATCCAGGACCCAGGTGGAAAGGTTGGCTATGGACCAGAGCAGGAACTTGTTTGGTTCATGAGTCACATGGAAAAGCCTTCCTGTTCTTGGTGCTGAAATGAGAAGAGCATTCCTCCCACGCAATAGTCCAACAAGACACTCAGAAATGTTATGGCAATAAAACATCAGCAGACACATTATAATAAAAGCTAAGAAGTTAAGCAAAAATTAAAAATTGAAATCCCAATAAGGAATATGATAAAAGTTTAATAAACAGTACCGCCCAACCACACTAAATGTCAGATAAACTTTCCATGATAAAAAAACTTAAAAATAAAGGATAAAAGGGATATAAGATATATGAGTGTAAGACTGAGTCGCAATTACAAACTTTGAGATGAAAAAGAGTTGTCAGATGCACCATGGGCATTTCTGTGAAAAAAGAAATATAAAGCTGAGTAAAATGTTGACAGCTGTTATCCTTTTTTTCCTCCATTACACACACAGGTTTGTCTCTTTTGAGCTCCTAATTTTAGGCTCAAGGCATGATTTTAAGCAATTGCTGTATTGATTTCCTGTTACAGCTTAGCAAATTGCCTCAAGCTAAGTGGCTTAAGGGAACACGTACTTGTTATTGTGGTTCTGAGGACCCAAAGTCCCAAATGGGTCTCACTGTCTTCAAATCATGGTGTTAGTAGGACGCTGTTCCTTCTGGAGGCTTCCATCCTTTTCACACTTAGAAGCTGCCTGCCCTCCTTGGCTTATGGCCCCGCTCCATGTCTGTGCGAGCCAGGGCTGGTTTAGTCTCTCAGCCCACGTCTCTGACACTGAACTGCATCCCTCCTCCACATCGAAGGCTCCTAGTAAGGAGATGGCATTGGGCACAGTCAGTTAATCCATGTCATTTCCTTATCTTAAGGGCCAATGACTAGGTACCATAATTCCACCTGTGCTGGAATTCTCACTTGTCATGTGTCTGCCCTTTCAGGCTACTAAAACAGAAACACCAAAGGCTAGGGGGCTCTTATTTTGCACTTTATTTTTTAATTGAAGAATGATTGCTTTACAGAATTTCGAGGTTTTCTGTCATACATCAACAAGAATCACCCAAGTGTTCACCCATGTCCCTCCCTCCCGAAACTTCGTCCCATCTCCTTCCCCATCCCACCCTTCCAGCTGGTCACAGAGCCCCCATCAGAGTTCCCTGATCACACAGCTAATTCCCGCTGGCTATCTATTTTACATGTGGGATTGTAATAGGTGGCTTATTAACAACAGACTCTACTTCTCAGATTTGGAGGCTGGGAGCTCCAGGACCAAGACAGAGCAGGTGGCTGGTGGATGGCGGTGTTCTCCCTGTGTCCTCAGAGGGCACAAGGGTGAGCGATCTCTCTGGGGTCTCTGTCATAAAGGCCCTCATTCCACCCAGGAGGGTCCCACCCTCATGACCTAATCGCCTCCCAAAGGCCCTGTCTCCTAACACCATCCCCTTGGTGACCTAGCTTGCACTGAGGGAAGAGTTAGTGTGAAGACCAGAGAGCTGCTCACACATACCGCATGCGCAAGCAAGGCTCTTGGTTTAACTGGCAAACCCTCTGAAGAAACTGCAGGCAGGCTGAGGTCAGCGTGCTCAGCCTGCCCTGGCGGGCTCTGTGTTCCGTGCTGTGTTGTCTTCACTGAACTGTGCTTCCACAGGACTGGTTTTTCCCTCTCATTTAGTTGCATTGCATCATGTCCACACAGAGAGACATGCTTTGTCCATGTCAACTGTGTCATTCAACTGATGACAGTTGGTGAAGCTATGTCTCGGCTCAATGCCCGGCACATCCAGGAATAGGACAAGTCCATGCCCACAGAGACCTCACGGCCCAGAAGGGAACCGGAAGTGTACCCACGTGTGCACAAGGCGGGGGTGAGAGGCATAAACCCAACGGAAGTGAGGGCTGCAGGGGACAGAGGAGGGGGTTCCTCCTGAGCAGGGGTCTGGGTTTCCTATGGGCCTGGTGTTCTGGTGATTCTGGACCCCTGGGGTGCATGTTTGAGGGGAGACGAGGGGCAGGCCAGGGTGCCCTGGGCCGGGAAGCAGGAAGGACAGCAGACAGAGGGGCTGGGGAAGGTCAGGCCCCCAAGAACCGGGTGATCAGAGCACCCACCACGATCCCCCCATGGTCCCATAAGGAGCTCAGAGAGCATCCTCAGGGATTTCGGAATTCACCTGGATCAGACACCACAGAACAACCTCAGTGACCTGTGGGCAATTCTTTAATTTTGAACAAAATTTATTCTGGTTTAAATTTTAGATGCTCTGTTGAAGGGTGCAGTTTCTGACTCTCCATTGGTCCTGGCCACGTCTTCGCCTTTTTTATCTCCTTCTGCAGCATTTTATTCGAGGCCAGAAACAGGTGCCAATCTGTCTCGTGCTTCTAGGGCACCTGTTCGGCAGACAGATGCCTAAATTCAAAGTGCAGGTTAGAGGGTGTCTTACTCCTTGAGCAAATCCTAAAAAGAGAACGAAGAGGGAAATAACGTGTCAGCAGGAGAAGGGGCATCTCGAGAAGGGCAGCTGTGTGCCCTCTGAGCGAGGCCCTGGGGCTTTCTGTGCTGAGATGCGGACACGGCCTCGTGACAACAGGATGTGAGTCCAGGACACCGTGGACCAGCTTCCAGACAGACGCTGGCCCTGCCCCGGCCCCGGTGGACCCTCACGTTTTCAGACGCAGAGGCTGAGGGACTAGGGCGTGAGGAGCTCGGCTGTGTGTGGGGTCAGCTCCACCACCAGGGCAAAGACCCGGAAGCTCTGCTACATCCACATTCTGGCCAGGAGTCAGAAGCGGCCCGCGGCCGTCTATTTTCACCCTTTAGTTTTCCGATTCATGGAGTCAGTCAAGTAGTGGAGCTGAGATAGGAGGAAAAGATGCAGCTGACAGTGTAAGAAGTGTTTAAAGAGAACTTACTCTTAAAGGTAACTTCCAACTGACAGTGACAGTTATTCAGAAAAAAAAGTTTTCTATCATTGTCTCTACTGCCTCAGAGCTCTCAGCGCTGGGGCGAGTCAGCCCCTCTCCTCCTCCCTTTGTGGTTTCCTCCCGACCAGCGGCCTTCCCATCTCCGTCACACGCCTTTTCCCTCCTGACCACGAGGCACCTCTGGTCCCTCTCGTTCCCCCCCCAGGGATTGAACCCGGGCCCCGGGCACTGAGCGGCTGTCATCCTTCCCCCCTGGCCTCTCTCCCCGCCACTGCGCTAAGAGTTGGGTTACAGTCATAAACAACACTGATGACAAGGGCTTCTCAACTTCATTTTGACATCTCATCAGGTGTCAGGTCTCAGTCTCCGCATCCTCTCTCTCCCTCCTTCCCTCCTTCCTTTCTTCCTACATATTTTCATCCTATTTCTAGAAATATCAAGGCTAAGATGAAAATCAGACATCCGATCCTGCGCAGTGCTTTGGATGCGCTGCCTCCAGCTGAGGAGCGAGGGTCGCATCGTCAGCGACGTGTCCTGGAGGACCTTCCTGCCGCAGAGACTCAGCGCCGAGCGACCCAAGAGCAGCTCCCGGAGCCCAGGCTCGGCCTGACTCTCCTCTGGACTTGTCTGCTTGCCCAGAGCCGCCCCCCTTCAGGTAGAAAGATTTATAAAGCGACACTCTGCGCTTCTGTCATGGGACAAAATCAGATTTCTTGCTTTTATGAAAAAGATAAAAAGGAGAGTCACTTAACAGAGGCATCTTCTGTTTCCTCCTCATGAAACCAATGAGGAGATGGGCTCAGAAGCTCTGACTCACTAGAGTGGCTTAGAAACAGCCAGGAACTTTGCAGGGCGGTTCTCAGACCCCTCCTGCTACTGGGACTCAGCGCTGGCTTCTCAGAAGCATCACATACGGTGGGTTTAGTCTGACCCCATTTAGATGAGGGTAGCAGGAAAGAAGGAGGTAGAAACAGGAGAGAGAGCCCGCAGTTCCCCCCGGGGCTCCCACGAGCTCACTTGACCAAGCAGACAGGACCAGGAAGAGGAGCGCGAGCAGCAGGTGATGGAGCCTCATGCTGGCGGCCGGAGCTCTGGGGCTGACGCTGGAGAAGAGGCTGCACTTGCCGCTTTATAAAGGTCCCAGGTTCCAGGAGGAATTCCGCACTGGCTGTGGATTTGGTTCTTATGAACTGGTTAACTGAGTCTCTTTCTGTGTGTCCTGGGAGTGGCCTTTATAACACAGAGCAGGGTCAGTCATTCTTTTGCTAATGAGGCTGTTGAAAACCCCAGAAAAAGCTTTCCTGCTACCCTTTTGACCACATGCTTCTCCCTGGCAGTCAGTTCAGCTGTTGGGCAAGGGTGAGGCAAGGCCCAGGGGCCTGTCTCCTCTGGCAGGGGCACAGACTTCTTGCTCAACCTTGGCTTACCCGCTCCCCAGCCCCACCCTCACCCCTCCGGGGCTTTGAATCTGCCCACTGTTATCCTGTGCAGAAGGACAAGGCAACGCACTCCAGTCCTCTTGCCTGGAAAATTCCAAGGATGGAGAAGCCTGGTGGGCTACAGTCCATGGGGTCGCAGAGAATTGGACACGACTGAGCGACTCCACTTTCTGTATTTCTTTAGTTCTTTTGGGGAGGAAATGGCAACCAACTCCAGTGTTCTTGCCTGGAGAATCCCATGGACAGAGGGGCCTGGTGTGCTGCAGTCTGTGGGGTTGCATAGATAAGACACAACTAAGCAACTTACACATGCACTGTTTTCCTCAAAGGCTGTTTCAGGCCCCAATAGGGACTAACGGGTCCAGAGGCAATTTCACTCCCTGGGCAAGACTTGCTGACTCCCAGCATCAGCAGAGATAGCCATGCTCTTTCTGGCCCCAGGGGCACTGAGGGAAGAGACCTAGTTGTCCCAACCCTCTCGCCACGCCATCAAGCCTCTTATGTGTGGGCAGCAACAGTCGCCAGCATAGTGTTCATTTTCTCTGCCCACCAGAGCTGAATAAAACTTGTAGAGACAGAGTTTGGATCAAACGGAAAGATGGCTTTAACCCTGAAGCTGGCAGAAGTGAGAACACGGTAGGCTCTTGCCTCAAGGAGCCTGTCTCCCCTCCATTGGGAATCGAGGGTATCCTACAATTGGCACTCACAGTCAGAGGTTGGAGATACACCACGAAATGTGTAGGGGTCCTGAATGCTCTCTTTTTGCGCTGTTTGGAAACAGTCAAAGCCAGAGTCTGGTAGCTGGTTTTTCCGTCTGGCAGTTGGTCCTGGTGGTTGGGTCCATTGTCCTTTGGGGATTTCCTGGCGACTTTCTTCCTGTTATACAGAAGGGGGAAAACAAACCACTAGGGTGTGGCTTCCAAGAGAGTGTACCATAAAGTTAAGCATCAACGTGAGGTAACACAGAGCAAAGGAAGGGAAATTAAACTACAAGGGGAGGTTTATGATGGGATAAATTTAAGTATCAGGATGTCGCTAGACTAAATTAAAGGATAACAGTTGCAGATGTGACTCCTGCTGAAATGGAGGGCAATAGGTGCTGGATGTATTTTGCATAATCGGTAAGTCTTCTGATAAGAAGAAACATGGTTATCAGTGCAGACTGTAGGTTAGGAACAGTTAAAGTGGAGAATGATGCAAAAGGGCAAAAAGAAAGAGGGAAAAAAATCTTTTCTTAATTCACTGCAAGACAATCACATGCAAGTCTCATAAAATCTCAGTGGGACACGTGATGGGCAGATGGGTGCTCCGTTTCCTTTCATCAGAGACAGAGTGGGAGGACGATATTGCCACTGAACACATCTCCCCAGCCGGGTATCATAAAGGCCCAGCAGTGGGGACCCCTTCACTGGGTTAAGAGGGACCACCATCACTAAGTAACATCCCTCACTTAGTAACATCCATCCATCTCAGTGCTGGAGAGACACTGACCCGGCTTTTCAGAAATGCTAAAGCTAGGATGGAGCTTGCCATGTAGCTCTGAGTAGAACTCCTAGCTCTTTAGAAATGTGGGTACCCCGGGTGTACCCCGTCCTGAAGGAGCCCCCAGAACTTCAGTCCTCTTCAGGTTCCCCGCTGTGGCTCAGCATCTCATATCTAAGTCTCCCAAAGCCATGGAGGCTGCCTCAAACAGACAGAGTCCCTGGCTGCACACAGGGATAGGAATTTTCTGAAAGAAAATAAGTTGTCTTGATCATGATTCCTTCTGCTTTAGCTCTACATGACATTTGAGAGAGGTAGACATCATCTACTTATATATATATATATATATATATATATATATATATATATATACATATAAAACTATCTATACAGATCCAACCAGTCCATCCTAAGGGAGATCAGTCCTGTGTGTTCATTGGAAGGACTGATATTGAAGCTGAAACTCCAATATTTGGCCACCTCATGCAAAGAGTTGACTCACTGGAAAATACCCTGATGCTGGGAGGGATCGGGGGCAGGAGGAGAAGGGGATAACAGAGGATGACATGTCTGGATGGCATCACCAACTTGATGGACGTGAGTTTGGGTGAACTCCGGGAGTTTGTGATGGACAGGAGGCCTGGCGTGCTGTGATTCATGGGGTCGCAAAGAGTCAGACAGGACTGAGTGACTGAACTGAAGTGAACTGATACATAAGATATATATATGTATCTGTTTATTTAGGACCTTACAGTCACACTCTACACTGCAGGGTTCACTTACACGCATGCTTTAATACTCCACTGGAGAAAGAGTGAGACTGAATCGTTGTCTACAGTGGCTCTTCATTGAAAATGCTGTTTTTAAGGGAACTCTGCTAATGTTATGTGACAGCTTGGATGGGAAGGGAGTTTGGGGTAGAATGGATACATGTATATGCATGGTTGAGTCTCTTTGCTTTGCACCTGAAACCATCACAACGTTATTAGTCAGCTATACTCCAATTCAAAGTTTTTTTTAAATATAATTTTAAAAAATGCTGTTTTCCGGGACTTCTTTGATGGTCCAGTGGGTAAGACTGTACTCTGAAGCATAGCAGGTCAGGGAACTAGGACCCACATGCCACAATGATGACTTGGTGTAGCCTAAATAAATAAACAAAATAAAAATTGGTGTGTTTTAATGATTTATGGTTTGCAACACAGCAGATTTTTTTTTTTTTAAGGAAGATGCAGATTTTTTTTTTCTTTTAAGGAAGATGCAGTTTAAGGAAGATAATGCAGTTTTATGTGTAAGACCGGGCATGAGTTTTCACAGAAGGAAGTTTCCTAAAGGCTTGCAGGGTGCCATGGTGAGTTTCAAGAGAGTTTCTTGCCATAGTTCCTCACTAGTGGGACATGGCCCTTGTAGGAATTCTCCAATTGCAGTGGCTTATTTTTCCTAGGCAAGATATAAAGATGACTCCTTTGCAGAGCTGTTAATCTGGAGATAAAGCCCAGGGGCATCTCTGTCCATCAGGGAAGGGTCCTGTTGCTTCAGCAAGGAGGTCACACACCCAAGAAACCATGGGGTGGCTCACCAGAAACCAGAGATGAGTTAATATAAGATAGAGGGAAGGGTTCATTGTAGGTAAAGTCTAAATGGATTATTAGTTTTCACAAGTTCAAAGCCAAACAAGGCCATGTGGATCATGGTTGCTTCATGCCTGGGCTGAGAGGCAACTCAGGGTCTCATTCTTTAAAGGGAAGATAAATGCTGTGTCCCCAAACCTTTAACCTGTGAGTAGGAAATTGAGGCAGTGTCTTTCCGGGAGAGTGCATCACTTCCTCAGGCAAGAAGGGGTGCCCCAGTCCTACAGATAAGGTTTTGAAGAGCAAAGCCCTTCACATCTACTACTCCACAAACTCAGGTGTTGTCAGCATGGAGCCCTGGCTGTTAATGGGCAGAGGCCGTTGTTCCCAGTTCCCTTCTCCTGTGGATGGGGTGGGTGCCATGGCTTCTGATGGTCACCCGGCTCACACCCCGTTCACACCTGTCCTCAGAAGGGGACTAGGGCTGGGTCTAATGCTGTGCTCCCCCACTGACACTTTTAGCAGTTTTTTCTTTGAACTGTCCCACACTTATATTTTGCAATGAGCCTTGCTCAGTAGCTGGCCACCTGTATCCCGTTATCTCTTTGAGTTCCCCTAAACAAACCTGCCAGGTAGGTATGACCCAAGTTTTATACAAGATGGTCCTGAGGACTAGAAAGCCATGTCTGAGACCACAGGTAAAACTAACTTAAAAAGTCAATTAAAATTGACTGCAAATCCAACAAAAATTTGTGTCCAAAGCCTCAGCATGCTAAGTGGCACTGGTGTAACTTGGAGCAAAATCACCCTCTCTTCACAGGGTCCTGCCTGCTGCCTGCAGTCAGCACAGCTTCCTGAGAACTTCACCAGGGCATTCTCCTGTAAGGTGAAAGCTAGCATAGTGCTGTCAAAGGCCAGCTATCAGGTGCTGATGAGACCGGAAGTGGGTGGGGCACAACCTTTAAAGAATGACAGGGACTACCCTGGTGGTCCAGTTGTTAAGAATCTGCCTTGCAAAGCAGGGGATGTGGGTTCAGTCCCTGACCTGGGAACTAGAATTCCACGTGAAAGAAAGAAAGTGAGGTCCCTCAGTCGTGTCCGACTCTTTGGGACCCCATGGACATTGGCCCACCAAGCTCCTCCGTCCATGGAATTTTCCAGGCAAGAATACTGGAGTGGGTTGCCATTTCGTTCTCCGGTTGCCGTGGGGCAAGTAAGCCTGTGTGTTGAGATGAATATCCTGCACACCCCAACTAAGACCTGAAGTAAATATATATTTTTAAATCCCTTTGAAACACGGCAACTAGGTGACACAGGCAGAGGCACCATGACAGTTCCAAGGCTGACCATAAAGGTAAAAAAGTGGGTGCTGACCCAGTTCCTGGAAATCCCCACCCTTTTCTGAAAATAGCTGGCATTCTCCTCCCACTCATCAGCCTATGAAATGACCCCCCTATAAACACTGACAGCCCCATACCCTGGTTCTGGGTTTGCCTTCCAGGATGGCCCACACCCTCTGTTTTGAGTGTTTCCGACCTGGATTGACCTTCTTTCACTTCACCTTGTCTCATTCTTCAATTCCT